AAATCTTTGGCATATGGAGCATTCCCGAATATAAGTCTTGATCATCTTCCTCATTCCAATCCAATAAAAATCCCTGGGGTGGTAATTCGTTGTTCCAATAGGTACTTTAACGCCTTGTGATCGGTTCAAACAATGAAACGGTATACCCAACAGAAAAGGCCTCCACTTTTTGACCGCCTTAACAACTGCTAATATCTGCTTTTCGTATGTCAATAGGTGGCAAGCCTTCTCTTTTAATGCTTCACTAAAGTAAGCAATGGGTCTGTTGTCTTGGTTTAGTATGGCACCAAGACCCACACCACTAGCATCACATTCAATAATAAACGGGCAACTCCAATCCGGTAACTGAAGAACAGGAGGAGTAGTTATTGCCTCCTTAAGACGGTAGTAACCCACCAGGTCAAGAAACCCCCGAACTCCTTTTGCACTCTTGGGGGCTATTTTTGATGGATCCACAGCTACCCCATCCTCAGAGATAATGTGTCCAAGATAAGCAACTTGGGTAACGCCAAAGGTGCACTTGGACTCTTTGACTAACAACTTGTTACTAGACTATATTTGTAGGACTTGATAGAGATGATCAAGGTGGTCTGACCATGACATTGAATAAATGAGTATCATTCAAAAAAACAAACAAACAAGATGAACTTATGTAGAAAAGGCCGAAACAAGTTGTTCATGAGGCTTTGGAAGGTGGCGGGAGCATTAGTAAGTCCAAATGGCATGACGGTATACTCATAATGACCCTTATGGGTCCGATGATATGTCCTCTTCTCGAACACAAATTTGGTGGTAACCCGAGTGTAGATCCAATTTTGAGAAAACCCGAGCTCCTCTTAGTTCATCAAGCAACTCATCAATGATCGGAATCGGGTACTTATCCTTGATCATCAAGTTGTTCAATGCCCGGTAATCAACACAAAACCTCCACGAGCGATCATGCTTTTTGACCTGTAAAATTGGGGAAGAAAACGGGATGTGGCTAGGGCGAATCACACCCATCTCCTCTTTTTGGTAGTATGGGTAGGGATATGGGCAGATACTCAGTGGTCCAGTTTCCAACTTTAATATGATTCAATTATCATAAAAACGGTGCGGTCGTAAAAAGAGAAGAATCGGAAATTTGAAAAGCCTGTTTTGTTGCTTCGATCTTGTCGATTTTGTCGCTTCGATTACTTCGCGACTTTTACAGAGACAGACACGATTTTTTTATTAAAAATAGGCTACTTCTCCCACACAAATATGCACAAATACTTACAGAGCACCAGTTGTTCAAGCTTTGCTTCTACTGCTAGCCTTCTCCCTTCTAACGCGGCAAAGCCTGCTGCCCTGCGCGTCTTCTCCGCTTCTCCATTTTTTCCCAGGTTTTATTTATGATTTTTAATTATATATAAGGAGAGTGTGTTATACTGTAAAAGGCTAACTTGGACTTGTGTTATGTTTTATTAAAATTTAATTAAAACATGTGTGTGTGTGTTATATAACTTGTGTTATATATATATGTGTGTGTGTGTGTGTGTATATGTATATATGTATATATAGGATCTTACGATCCGAGTCACAATGTTACGATCTTCATTAGGCTTATCGATCCTATGTAGAATCCAGAGTTTGACTACCATGCTTGGAGTTATGCCAACGTTTGTTGAAGTTCTCGGTTCTTTGTGGGTGGGTCCAGGTGCGTGATATCGCACCTTAACCCAATTTGGAATAGATAACCCATGCCTTGGAGATGGGCCAACTCCTTCTCAGTCAAAGCCTCTGTTAAAGGTCCTAGATGCTATTGGGTTCCTTCCAACAAATGAGTTGAATCTATCTTGAACCGTAGGGTGAGACGTTGATAGTCCAATTCGACCGGTCCTAGTGTGTCTTTAACCATTGGACCCCCCCAAGCACCACTTGACATGCTGCTACCAGAAGAACGTAGTAGTCGGTTGTAATAGTAAATCCTTGGATGTTTCCAAGGATGGTTTGTGGGTGGACGGTTCCGGTAATAGCATGGAATGAAACTTCGGGAATAGCAACTTGTTGTACTATCTCATCACCCGAGTCTGGGATTTCGGCATCCGCACCTCTCTCTACTTCACAGATCATGAAAAGTTGAGGTTTAGCACAATGAAAACTTCTCGTCGCAGTAGTAACATAAGCCTTTTTTCCCTGCGTGATTTGGCTTCGGCGCTAGTGATGCACCTGACTTGAGGTTGTGCAGGGTCAGTAGGATTAATAGGGGGCGGGGTACTGGGATGAGGGCCCAAGAGCCCACGGCTGGACAGTAGCGTACGAGTAGAGGGGCTAGCAGAACAGAAACGGCTAGTGGGTGTGGTATTTTTGCGGGTACTAATCTTCTCCTCGATCAAATGAGCGAGTCCTATTGCTTCAGGAAGGGTTCTGGACTATTTAAGCTTAGCCTCGTACCGTATTTCATCTTTCAAACCGGCAACATAACACCCAATTAAATAGGATTCTGGTAGGCCATCAATGCGGTTGGAAAGCTGTTCGAATAACTCGGTATGGGCTACCACCGTGGTCGTCTGTTTTAAGTGTGATAGGGACTCAGACGGGTCGTCAAAGTCAGTGGGTCCAAAACGTTGCAATGCTGCTCGCGTGAGTTCCTCCCTGGTTTAGGGTCCCTACAACTTTGTAAACCACCGGTACCATTGGAGAGCAATACCCTCCATGTGAAACGATGCGAGGGAGACTTGTTGATCGCTGGAAATCTTAGCAAACTCAAAGTATTGCTCGGACAAATACACCTAGCTAATTGGAGCGGTTCCATCATAACTGATCCCAGTGATCGCCTAAAACCATGCAGGCCGTTGCCCACATCTTGACCCATTATTAACGCAACAAATCAAAGACAAGGTCAACAAATCACATCCACAAAAGAAATAACTAAAAAAATTAAATTAAGTTAAACAATATTTAAATCTCCATGTATGCCAAGAGTGCCGCTACGCCTCCTCAATCGGCTTCTTCAGTTCAGGAACCTTTCCATCACTCTCAGCTTGTGCCCTTTTTAGAAGTCGTTCCTTCTTGGCCGCTTGATCCTCAGGCCTGTACTTGAGGAGCACCTTGAAGAGGTTTGTTGCTAGATTCTTATTGAGGGTCTTAGAGAATTGGTTGATTGCCGAGGGACCTTCAAACGCTGCTTGAGGATCTTCCTCTAAATGTTAACAACTTGTGACCTTCAAATTTTTCTCTTACACACTGATTTTTATAATCTATTTTGACCTATAATTGAATAATTTCAAATTGGGGCCGCTTAATTTTGTACAAGTAAATCAAAATAATATTGAAAAAGCCTATATAGTTGTAAATGAGAACACATTGGGGTTGGAACTTTATCCTCTTCACCGTTGTTGAAATACTATATCTACTGAATGCTTCTTGGAGTGTGTATGTGTTATATGTGGAATGTGATATGTTTGCTTGGTTTTGATTGAATAATGAAGGAAGTGGGTTGATTTAAATGTAGAGGATGTCGATGGACGAATTATGGGGTATGCAGGGAGAGTGTTTTAGGAGCTCCTTTTAGTTATTTTATGAGGGAAAAGAAGTATGCGTGGGGTGAAAATGGAAGATAAAGATAGCAAGGATAGTTCCTTGTCAGTGTTAAGAGATATACACTCTTACGTTAACTAGGGGCTTCACTTATAGTCTTATACAATAATAATCACTACTAATGTATAAATGTAGACTCTTAACACACACATAAGTGGCCAACCCATAAGATGTTTCTTTTCGAAATTGTTTGAATAAGCATCACACCTATACGGAGCATTTATTCAAAAAGAAACACAAATGGATTTTAATTCATGATTCAAGATGTCATATTAAAGTGGCTATGGCCGAAATATATATGCCACAAAAAACACAATATTACAATTATTAAATGTAGATAAACTAAAACAAATGGTGGGCTAAACCATGACTAATTACACGCCACTTTTGAGGGAAATATCACATGAGGATTATAGCTTATTTAGGTGAAGAAAACACAGTAAAGTTGAGGACTTTAAGATAAATGACACGTCACTCTTAGCAGTTAGCTCATATCCATAAGGAGAGTTTAGCTAAATATTTGATAAAGAAAACACAAATAAAAGATGAAGACCTTGTTGAGAAATCACACGCCACATTTACACTATGTTTGGTTAAAGGAATTTGGGAAGGAAAAGAAAAAGATAATGGTTTTCTATCATTTTCCTCACCAAAGTAGGAGGACTTTGGTTTTCCCTTCTCTTAGTACATTTTGTCCTCTCATTTTTTTTCCCTCCATTTTTCTTTTCTTTTCCTCTCTGACCAAACAAAAAAAACTGTTTTTCATCTCATTTTCTTTTCCTTTCCCTTTCAAATTCCTTGAACCAAACATAGTGTTAAGGAAAATTAAAAGACGAATTCCCTTAAATTAAGGAGGAATATCTTAAAGGTGTTTCCTAAGTCAAAAGTTATCAAAACCATATATTTCTTTCCCCTTTTAGGTGTTAATTTTTGTGGTTGATGTGGTGGAATGGGAAAACTAAGCTATTATTTGTCTCTTTTCTTTCTCATTTTTGGCCAAGGGTTGAAATGATAGGAGAAGACTTTATTTTGAGTTAAATAACAAGATAAAAGACTTTTGGATATCATGGAATGAGGTTGGGTTTGGCCGGGGGGGGGGGTGGTGGGGGTTGGGTCAACAGGGTGGTTGTTTGACCTTTCGGTTTCTCAGCTGGACCCATGGAATTGACCCATTTCAAACAGGCTGGTTTAGGGGTCGGTTCTAATTATATATTAGAGAATAGGCCCAAACCGTGCCCACCCTAATTGTCTTACTATTAGTAATTAACTCTTCCTTCTATGTTTGTTTGTTTTGGAGTCCAGTCATGCTTCTTAAGTTTTTTTTCTTCAAGTTTTATCAGTTCTACCTCGACTTGGATTCATAAATTTATTATGACATGCATGCATCTTATTACCCAGTTATATTGCCTCATGTATATAGGTTTTTCCCCCAAATACAGAATAATAATCAGGGCTGCAGAAGGATGGAATTGGAAGATAGGATTAGCACATTCCTGGATGATATTCTTTTAATGATTTTATCACTGTTGACTTTCAAGGAAGCAGTTGCCACCAGCATCCTTTCTCGAAGATGGCGATATTTATGGGCATCCCTCCCTATCCTCGATTTTAGATTCGAATATGTTTTGCAACATGAAGACATCCACTACCGAAATTTTATTCGGCACTGTAGATTACTTGAAGTTTACAAGGATAGATTTGTAGAAATGGTCAACCAAGTGCCAAGGTTTCGAAAGGGTCAAGGGCTGCAAGAGTTTGGCATCCATTACCCGTTAGAACAAAGCTCTAGTTGCCATATTGATCGTTGGGTTGCTTTTGCAATTGCCGTTGGAGTTTCCAAGCTTGAATTAAACCTCTCCCCCTATTTATCCAATTGTCCTAGAGGTTGGAAGAATTATTCAATCCCACATGACCTTTTTGGCAGAACGAATGGCATGGAGCAGTTGTTTGGGCAATTGGATCGTTGTTTTCTCTCCAATCCTACATCCTCCCTCAATGTTCGAAATGGTTTCAAGTATCTTAAAGAGCTCTCCTTGAAATATGTAGACCTTACAGACGAACACTTTGAAGCCATTTTATCTAGCTGCACATCTCTCGAGCGCTTACATTTGCTTAAGAGCAACAAGCTAGTTAGTGTAAAACACACTCTTCCTCACACGAAATTGAATTTCTTGGAGATATACCATTGTTACAATGTGGAGAAAGTTGAAATATTTGCTCCAAATCTTGTTTCTTTCTTGTATCGAGGGGCCAAGATTCATATTTTCGTTAAGGGTGCGAAACAGCTCGTTAATCTCTGCATGTATTCATATTCCTATTGGGGAGAGATGGAGTATCCACACAACAATTGTTTGGGTTTACCCTACATGCAAAGTAAAGATTTTGTTTTTGTCCAATTTGCTGAGTACCTTTCACAGTTGGAGCATTTGACCTTGGATGTTGGTTTGTTTAATGTGAGTGGGAGCTTCTTCATAAAGCATTTTCATTCGCTCCAAGTTCTGTCTCTTATCATAGCCGGATTTGTTTTTTTTAAATATATTTTTTATTTACAGGATAAAGAAGTATTCGAAAAGGTCCCTATACTTTCAAATCTGAAACATCTGTCTTTGACTAGTGACAATGATTATGAAGGCCCCTTTGGGGTGGTAAGTTGCTATCGTACAGTTGTTTGCCTGGTCAAGGCATCACCATGCTTGTGTCGACTCGACTTACATGTAAGTATTCTCAGTTGTTTGACTCTGTTAGACTCGTGTACCTTTATCCAACACTCACCCCTAGTATCCGGATAACATTGTTTACTGTCCGGTAGTAGCTTCTTCTTTTTTTTAATAAATAAATAAATAATGATATATGATATATCATACTGAAAATGTCCACTGATATGAATTTTTTTTCCAGTTTGCACTGCCACCTTCCAAGAATCCAGAATTGAGAAGAATTCCCATGTCTCCGCACAAATATCTGAAAGAGGTTTTGGTTTCCGGTTTTTATGGCAATGAGCTGGTTATGGACTTGATAATGTCTATATCTGAGTTTGCCATTGAACTCCAAAAGATTGAGATAACAATGGCATTTTTAGGTGATCTTTCCCGGTGTCCCCCCATTATTGTAAGGGATGCTGATGTTGCTAAGAAAAGTATTGGGGAGCTTCATCAAAAATTGCCTGCAGATGTTCAAGTATGCTTTCTTGATGATGATTAATTTATACATGTTTCATCTTGAATGTGTATGTTGGTGTGTGATTTTACCCTGTTGTACCATAAGAATCCTAATTTTCCTAAACCCATTAGGCTATTTATTTCTTTTGGGTTATTGCTGAAATGTTAAGTTCAATCCAATTATGGGATGGAAGTGATGATGGGTCGGGTTGGTTAGTTAAGGAACAAAGCTCTTCTCCCATGTGCTAGGCAAGTGTAGAATCATGATTTTTTTTTATATAGGCCCAGTTTGGTATACGAAATTCAAACTATGGAATTTGTATTGAGAACTTTAATTCAAATTTTGGTGTTTGGTAGCACAAAAATTATGTAGATTTGGAACTGATAGTGCAAAAAATAAATTAGAATCGGCATAATTCAATTCTATGGAATTGAATCTCGTGGAATTTCAATTCCAATTCAGTCAATTTCGTATACCAAACATATCCTTAGAGAATTGTATTATAGATATATCAAATTATCTCTCGTTTAAAATGAAGGCTAATAAGAGTTTGTCCTAATTGTGATATGAATTTATTAAGGTCTGATTTAATTTAATATAAATTTCTAGTCTGATCTATGAATTTTTCTACTCTAGTCTGATCTTATCAGAGCTCAATGTATTCCAATTAAAGTTTTTGAATTGGTTTGATCTGATGTGATTTGTTTTAAAAAAGAATAAGTGATACTCCATAAGTGCTCCCTCTGTCCCCAATTAGATTCGGGTCTGGTAACACTCGGAAAAAAAAGTGCTCCCTCTGTCCCCAATTAGATTACAATTTTTTTTCTCTTCTCTCAATAATTTTTGTTTGTTTACGCGATTTTATTAAATATTTGATCAAATAAAATATTATTGTCATCTCTTGTTTTGTAGAACGTTTGACGTAGTTTCTTAATATATAATTTTTATTTCTTATCAATATACCAATTTTTAAATAAAATAATTTCAAAAAAATAAAATATTCTTCGTTGTTGACACTAATTTGTAATCAAACTGGGGACGGATTTATTATTAGCTTGCCATTTCTCAATGGTGTATGTATGGAAATGTGGAGTGTGAACTTGGGGTGTTCAATCGGATCGATTCGGTCCGATCTGAAAATTCAGATATCTGAAAATTTTGGATAATGTAAAACTCATTCCGTATCCGATTCGAAAATATTTGGATAACTGAAATTTGGATATCCGAATTTTTAGATCGGATCTCTGGATTATCCGAAAAGTTGACTTTTTAGCCAAAATTTATAAAAAAAATAGGTAAAATAGTAAAATCAATCCACAATATCAAATTCAATATAGATTTACTAAAAACAAAATTCCACCACTAGGTAATGGCCTATTAAAAATGATACCAAATTCAATTTGCGAGTAACTTTGGTAAGTTTACCTAAATAAACCAAAAAAAAAAAGCATTAATAAAACAAAAAGTTCCAAAATACTAATGCAACTAAAATGCTTGAGTTTCAAAACCAACATAGAATTGCATTAAACATATAGCCATAATATTTATCCATAAAATTCCATTAAACATATAGAGAAAAAAATCAGATATCCGATTATCCGAAAAATTTCAGAAATTGAATCCATATCTGATCTGATTTGTCTCGAGTATCCAATCTGAAATATCCAAAAACTAAAATACTGGATCGGATATCCATTTTTCGGATTAGATCTGCCCGGATCGTGAACGGATATTTCGGATCGAATATTTTTTAACAACCCTTAGAGCACTGGTAATGGTCATGAAGCCCCGGGGCTTCAAACCGGGGCTTCAAAATTTCTCTCTCTGCCACATCAGCTTTAACTTACACCCAAAATTCACTGGAAATGGTTTTGAAGCCCCGGGGCTTCAAACTGGGGCTTCAAACCTTCATTTTTTACATTTTTAAATATACATCTTCTAAATTTAAATTTATAAATTCAAATTAATTTATTATTTAATTAAATTGAAACACGAATAATAAAAAAAATACATTAATTCAATAAAAAAAGCGACAATAAATTTTAAAAAAAAAGATACATTAATAAAAAAAACTAAGGTAAATTATATTTCTCCTTGAGTTCTCTCATTCTTTGCTCGTAGAGAATTCGTCCAAACTCCGATAACGTCCCGGGGTCGGTTTGCATGACTTTCATCTCGGCCTCTTGCTCCTTTATCTTCAACTCCTTCTCCTTTAGCTTCAACCTCTCTTGTTCCTGGAGATTGAACGCCCGAAGTTGTTCAACCATTGCCAGGCCGATTTCGTCGCGGGGAGAAGCGGAAAAAGAGGCGGACCCTCCCGAACCAGAGGCAATGGATTTTGCCTTCTTTCTTCCGATCGGCCGTGGAATGGGGTCTTCGTCATCGGAATCCGCAACGTTGAAGGGAGGGATTTGATCGGTAGAACCGATAGTCTCGTCAACCTCAACCTGGGCGTCGACGGTGGATCTTTTCCGGAATGATCCGCCGTCGGTCCGGAACGGTTCGCCGTCGGGATTGTTGAGTTGTTGCCACT